GATATTTGCTGTTCAGAAGCTTATGTAACTGTGGCGAATTACTTTTATTCATCATCTTGAGCAGCTTTTTGAAGTCCTGAGCTCTCCCTTTTGCTCGTGCTTTTCTCTGCATCCCCAGCCTGTGTTCCAGTGTGAGTTCGCATACGTGCAACCGCTTGATCAGAGACAGTGTCTGTCCCCTTGAGTGTTGCCTGAACACAGTTCAGAAGGGTGAAGTATGGTTTTTCTCAGCTGTCAATCAGAGCTTCCCTTGTGCTTTAAAGTTTAGTTATTTTTCTTTGAACATCAGTTACAAGTTCTCACCTTCCCCCTGGTGAGTGGTTTGCTCTTCTGCCACTAAGATGCTTTCAGCAGCTGCTGCTAGTCCACTCTTAATGCTGACGGGGTGTTGAGGAAAAGCAGGATGAATAAACATTTGTAAAGACTTCCGTGGGCACGGCTGCCTGAATCAACTGATGACCTCCAGTTCTGCCCTCTTGGTGTTCTGTTGTGCCTTACCACACATGCAGGTTCTGCTTCCACCAGCTCTTAGGAATGCTGTACGGAAAAGATCAGGTTCCCATCACATCACCTGTCCACCAGCAGATGTCTCTGCGGTGGACATGACTGCACTGGTATTAAGATAGATGTTGACACACTGGTGAGCTCAGTGGAGGCCCCCAAGCTGGAGAGGGGGCTGCAGTGCTGCCCTTTAGAGGCTGGGGGTGCTGGGCTTGTTCAGCCTGCAGGTGTTGGGAGGCCCCAGCTACCTACAGGGTGGAACCAGGCTCTTTGGTGCCTATTATGGGAGGACAAAAGGGAGCAGAAGTGGAAAGACCAGAAAGGGGGAAAAGGCAGTGGAACAGGGGGGGTTGTTGGTTACCCAGAGGGCCTGTGCAGGCTCTGTCCCAGGAGGTTTTTAAGACCTGACTAACTCAAGTCCTAAACCACCTGCTCTGGCCTCACAGCTGGCCTGCCCTTGAGCAGGACATACAGCTGCTGACCCAAGTCCTGTGCCTCAATTGCCCTGTGATCCTCTCTCAGGCTAGAGACTTGACCAGCAACTGGCATGTAACTTCCAGCCTCTCTGGGCTCTTCCCATGCCCTGCTCCCTACCAAGGGAAGTGCTTTCTGTGCCACAGAAAATGCAGTATGCTCTTGCAGTTACCTCATCTTCCGAGGAGGGAGGGATGGCTGCTTCCCTGCTGGGCTGGCTAAGCAGGGGTGTATTGTATTTTTCAAAGCTGATTATCTGCAATAATCAAGGCCTCAGTGTATGCAGCTGACTTTCTCCAGGTCGCATGTGGTAGGAAGAGTACATCCAAAGGTGATGACAGGCCAAGTCTGGAAGGATCTCACTACCTGTGGTGAGAAAAGCTTGACTTGGTATGCATTATCCTTTCTAGCTAAAACCATGTTGGTTTTATTTAATTAAATTCCATGGGTTTGAAGTATGTATGTTCCCAGCTGCTTAATTAAGGCAGAATATTTAAGGGATTAAAATTCTGTAATTGACTTTTTGCCTCTTTGCTGCTGTGAACACAACCGGGTGTCAAACGGGAGCTGCACCAGATCCAGCTCGACTCCACATTAAAGTGACAGAGCAGCAGGGGTCGCTTGTCAAAGCGATCCCGTGTTTACTCCTGTGCTAGGCTGTTTCTTAAAAGTATTTTGTGATTGGTTTTGTTTGCTTGCACGATCTGTTGCTTCCAGCTAAGAGACTTTGACTCTCTCTTGGTAACGGTCTCTGGCTGGGGAGAGCTGCACCAAAAACATTTCTAGTCTTGCTGTTTGTCTGACTTAACCCGAGCTCACTGCCTGCTTCCTTATGCCTTTATCTGACTCCCATCTGAAAACTCTTGAGCTCATCAGCCAACTGAAAGTCAGTATGACACAAAGGAAGGGATCATAATGTTGAAAGTTGAGGAAAACAGACGGCTGCTTGGAGGTCAGAGAGACATGTCTGTAACAGAAAGGTTCTGCCACTTACTCAGTCTTTGAAACGAGAAAATCCCTGTGGCACCTCCTCCTTGAGGCATACCAACAAGATACGGGCTGGACTAGTTACACTGCTTCTAAGACTGTTTCCTTGGCCCTCTTTGGATCAGCCCTGATCAGTACTGTCCCTGGTGCTTTGGTGGGGCTCCACTGAAGTCTGCTTCAGTGCCTCCCCCCAGGAACTTTAATTCTTTTTGGCTTTCTTGCCCCATAGAATCCAGGTGCACCAAACAGCAGAGATACATAAAGACCCTCTGGACAGTGTGGTGTGAAGATGAAACGTTCATTCTTTTAATGGTGTTCTGCACTGACACTTCCGAGACTTAACATCCTTGTGGGATCTTGTGAGACTTACCGGAATTCACAGCAATATCCCAGTTACTGGACCGCACCTGCCAACCCACAAACTTCAGTGAAGAACAACGGCATCTTCCTTTTAGATGATAATTTTAAGTGTATCTTTAAAACCTTTGTTTTATAAAATAGTGTCTTCCAAGGAAACTTCTGGAAAATTAGTTCTTGGTGAGTAAAAGACAACTTTTAAGTAAGTAGCTTAAGAAACCTCTACTCTGGCTGTTGAATGTATGACTCCAGAAAAGAGAAATAGATCATATGGTTTTATTCTAACACTTGTTATAGCTCTTTGAATAATAAAGTTTTGATGAATGAAGTACATGAACCTTGCTGAAGCTGCTCTAAGCATGGAATGTCTACAATGTAGTCAGCTACAACCATTTACTACTTGAGTAGCGTTTAAAATGTTGATGTTTACATTGAATTTTCAAAGTACACGGAAAAAAATGAAATAGGAAGAGCATTTACATCCATTTTAATTGGTGGCAGGCATAAAGTCATAAAAACCAAAGGGGAAGAAAGACCATTTAGCAGAAACCCCAAGAAGTGCAGATACAGGTTCGTTGAATGACAATCTTTCAAG